AATTCATCTTGGATCAACGAGATGGATTCAATTGGATTCACAATCAACAACCAGCAATCAGGAGAGCTGAACAATAAATAAACAAGACAGAAGAAGAATTGATGCCTTTGAACTACGGTGTTCGAAAAGAGCATTGGATATCCCATGGACTGCTGAAAGAAAAGACCTCTACGTCTTGGAGTAGTTGCAGCCAGGGTGGTCCTTGGAGATAAAAAAAACCAATGCTTTGCCTCATTTACTTTGAACATGTTGCTAGCAGAGGCTATTGCTTGGAGAGTGATATCATGCTTGAAAAAATGAAAGGTTAGTTAAAGTGAGGAAGACTCTCAACCAAGTGGATTGGCACTGTGAGTGAAGATATGGGCTCACGTGTGTCAGGGATTTGTGGGATGGCACAGGATAGGACAGGGTCCAGATCAGTTTATAGGGTCACTGAGTTGCATCCGACTCAATGGGACCCAAGAACTGAACGCTCTCACCTGGGTTTCACTTCATTTTGTTAAAAACATGTGGAATTATTCACTACAGATTAGCAAATAAGCACAAGTAAATCTGTGTTTTCGCAGCTTATTGCGTGATCCTAGCACTAAGTATTTAGGTAACTCTGCTTCCAAAAGATAAACCTAATTCTGATTGGATCTATACCCTTTGCAGTTCGTTGTTGTTGTTGTTGTGTGCTACTGACTAGGAACTGACCCATAGCTGATCCTCCCGTGGATTTTTTTGAAGCAGTAAGTCACGTGGGTGTAGACGGGCCATCTTTATCCCAAGGAGTAAACTGGTGGATTCAAACTGGGTACTTTTGCATTGACAGCTCAATCCTTATCACTAAGTCTCCAGTTCAGCTGAGGCCAATTCACAGGAACCCCGACCATATCAGAGTATAACTTCTCTATAGAGTTTCCAAAGTTATAGTTCTTATGAAAAGAACACCCCAGTAGTGCAGAGGGTAAGTATTGGGGTGCTAGGACAGCAATTCGAACTACCATCCCATCCACCGGAGAAAGAGGAAACATTCTGCCTGAAAAGATTTACAGTTACAGAAACCCACTAGGGCAGTTCTACCAAGACCTAGAGGGTCGCTATGAGGCAGAGTTCATTTCAGGCACTGAGTGAGTAAGGTTTGCAGAAAGCCAACTTTCACATCTTGAGTGAAGCACTGATGGGTTCAAACTTCTGCCCTTGCTTTATAGATTAGTAACCTAACTCTTAACCCATTTTCCCACTACAACTCTTTTTTTTATTTTTTTATTATTAAATTTTATTAATTTTAATGAACATTTACAGGGATTTTGGGTTTTCATCCTTCATTGCTGCACCATTCTCTCTACCCTCCTCCCCAGTTTGTTCTTCTTCCCCCGCCATCCGAATATCTGTTTTAATTGTCCTATTGCCACAGTGCTTGTCAAAGTCAGTTCTGATTAATCTCCTTTGTCAGTGTGTCCTTTGCCATTCCCTATCACTCCTCCCTGAGAGAGA